AAATATCACGAGAGGTGTGAAAATAAGATGCCTCTGTTGAACTTCAAGAGAAGGAAGGCAAGACTGGGTTCGATTGGCTGACTTGGACCGAAGGCGTCAGTTCTATAGTATTCAACGAAATGAGGACTGGGCTATTTACAAGGGCAGCTTGAAGAAGACAACGCTTCTTCTCGGTGGCTAAAATGCTGAAGATTAGTTTTTCATAACGCCAATGTTCCGATGCAAGCCTACCTTCTCATTGTCGTCTCCAAGAACCCAGAAAAATGCAGTTATGGGACAACCAGGTCAAGATCTAGACTAACTGAGTAAGTCGGATCTAAACTAACTGAGTTAGTCAGATCTAGACTAACTGAGTTAGCCACCTCACCATTAGGGGAGCGTTTCGTACAATCCACTCTCAGTAAAGATTCACGAACAATTTGCTTTAGTTCACAAGATGTAGACTTCGACTCAAAAGTCTAAAATGGTGCTTTGATCAATTCAATGCTGAAAACGATGCCCTCACAAAACTACACAATTTCTCAAGCGAGTTGCTAATCCCTCATGTCGATTCGGAAATGTCGGATACGAGAACTACTAAATTGATTTCTATTTGGAATTGTGGAGTTTTCAATTTTTTACGCGCCATTTGAAAAGAAAATATTTTCCAATTGTTTTTTGCGTTCTGCGATCTTGGAAACTATGTTGCATATCGTACTCTCTACATGATTTTGTATGTATTATGTGAATTTGAGGCAACTTCGTTGGTTATTGGTTGCAAAAAAGCAAAAGGATTCCAAACTTCTGCCCTCTACTGTATGTCACTACTGTGTGTCGGCACTTCCCGAACACTAAATTAGATGGAAAGGTTCCAAAACTGAAACCGCGCTCGCAGGTCTGCAGTATCAATGTTTTGTACGGTATAAAGATTGTTTTACTCCGCCTGCCATGTGAGCGTCACTGAGCACGAGCACATGCCCTTTCAATCCACGTAGTGCTGCCATAGAGGGCAAGGGAGGGAGAAGCAAAGCAACCACTAATAATGTGATGCTGAGAACCAATTCACTAATAAGCCCCCACGTTAGCTTTATGTTGCAATTACGGTGGGCCATTTCAATTGGTACACCCGGCCATGAGGGTAGTTTCGTCCGCTCCTCGTGATGTTGTCGTCGTAACAGGAGGGCCTTGGGATGGGAGGCGGGTAGGGAGTGGAGATCAAATGCAACTATCAACAAATCCAATCTTCGAATCAGTGCTCAAGTTTCACTTCAATGTGATGTCATTTTTTACGGTAGGACGACATCTACATATACATATGTATGCCCGTTTTATATATACGCGCGCTTCCCCCTCACTCCCAGAGTAGCTTCATCTTCTGGGTATGGGTCTCAGAACAGAAAATAAAGATGTCAAGGTGTTGGTATAGCTAGCTTTTGCACCTCACAATTACTAAAGCAACAGTCCCAGCAGGGTGGGCGTGGTCGGAAACGACTGCAATCCCCTCGGCCGATTCCGACCACGCCCACTTCAGCTCCCTCCCTAGCGGCTTTCCAAGGTGAGTTTTTGTTCAGTCACACTTCTTACGTTCTTGACTAGGGGCTGAACAGCTCCGAAGTGGGAATCGGCCGAGGGGATTGCAGCCGTTTCCGACCACGCCCACCCTGCTGGGACTGTTGCTTTAATGGAGCAGAAGCAGCACGGCTGAAGAAAGGGCAGTGTTGTATTAATAAAGAACCTTTACAGAAACTAAAGAGTGAAGGCGTGTACTTGTTCACTTCGTATTTCCTTCATTTCTCGTGGTTCTTTTTTATTTGGAACAGCATGAGAT